CGACGGATAAAATTTTTTCAGTAATATAAATTAAAAGTTATTAAATTTTACTAATAATTAATATATAAAAAATTGATTAGCTTTGGAATAAATTATTTAAAAATAATATAGTTGAAAAATTAATTATTTTAAATTATTTAACTAGAATCTTATTGACAATTTACTATATGATCTTGATTTTTTTATATAACTAATATCTGATTTTAAAATTGATATGAAAATATTATGATATAATTAGATAAGATTTTAAATTAGTATTTTATTAATGGTTGATAATTAGAAAATAAAACAAGGATAAATACATTTTTTAAATTTTATATCTTAGATTTAAGATGAATAAATATATTAAGTTAATTAATGATGTCATCTTAGGGATCTTCAAGCAAAAATTTGAGGGAGCATGGCCCACATGGAAAGTTGTAGATGAATCAATTCGAAATAGGTGATTTGAAGAGTTTCAGGTAATTAATCTTGGTTCTATTTAAAATTTGTTGTGCGTTGTGTTTAGTGTTAATCCTAATTTATTTTTCATGCAGAAAGAGTATAAGTGGGATCCACAACATGGTCGGGCTATAAGAAAGGCTTTTGAGCACAAGGGATCAATTCTTTTGAAAAATGGAAATTTGAGCTGTTGAGAATGGAGTAATAACCTACACTAGTGGCTCTATGTCTGCTGGAGCTCACTTTGAGAAGTTGGAAAGTTTATTAATCATATTTTAATTTCTATTTAATTTGTTTAAGTTTAATATAATTGATTGGTTTAAGGAGTATATCGACTAATATTTAAATTTTTAAAGACTAAGGAGCTTTGTCGACCCCTTACGGAATTGGTGAAAAAGATAAAGAAGTTGAAGACTAGAGAATGGGTCAATGATAGAGTTTATGATATTGTTGTAAGTTAGCCTTTTTAAGTAAACATTTGCAACACTGTCAAAATTAAAAAAAAAAAAATATTGGTTGGCTTTGTGTGCATGTGTGTATTGTATATTGTAGAATGAAAGTCTGTGAAAGAGACAAATTGTGACAACATTACTAATTAACATGCATGATCTCATATAGTAATTGCTTTCATCACATTAGAAACAAACATTATGTAGTATACTATTGACATAGAGTTTTAAATAGAACCATAGAGCTAGATATCAAATTAGTGAAACTCCTAAAAAAAGTAAAAAAGGAAGACAAAAACCCAAGTAATTAAGTAATGTGTAGTAAAACAATGAATATATATTTTTAAATATCAAATTTAATTTTAGATTATTATAAATAAACATAAGAGAACTTTAATTTCTCAACTACGTGGTTTAGTGCATGGATATCAAACTTCTTAGGGATTATAATTTGGTTTAAAAAAGCTAATAATGTTGTATATATAGTTGTCTCCACTCTCTTGATGATTTTTAGTTGGTTCAAATAGTTTGTGTTTAGTGTCATGATTGTCTTGTGAGATGCATATCCCTTTCTCTTTATGTTTTTTTTATTTGGTTCAAATAGTTTTTGTTTAATGTCATTATTGTCTTGTGGGATGCATATGTTGTAAATGTTACATCAAATGAAAGTTCTTTATCATCAGGAATAGAATATTGATGTTGTTAATGGTTCATATGGTGATGCTCATATTAATATAGATAGTTTTGGAATTCAAATAGGATAAGCAAAAAATATTTGACATTATTTGGTGAAGGAGAAATATAAGTAACATTTAAATGAGGTCAAGCAACAAGCCACAAACGAAGGCACATAGGGCTCTACTTCTACCTTTATCAGTGATAATGAAGTTTATTTACAGGTTGTTAAGAAGGATGTGAAGGGAAACTTGTATGAGCTTGTTGGATTGGCTGATGACTTCATTCGCTCCACACATCCCCAGTCTTGTATGTTCCAAACATCACCAGTCACTATAGGGGTGATAAAGGAAATGCAAAATAGGATAGCTAAATTAAATGTTGAGCTTGCTGCAAAAGAAGCAAAGGAAAAACAATTGGAAGTGCATATACGATAACATGATGAGTAGATGCAATATATTCTACGACACCTCCAGATTGAGCCTTTAAGGCTGGCCTCTCCTTTACCAAGTACTACTACAAATATTCCTAAACACAATGTTGACGATGCTCTTGGGATATAGTAGAAGACCTTTGATTATGCTCCTTTAATTTACTTGTTTTAGCTTTTGTGGTTGTATTTCAGATTTACTTTGTTGATGTTCTAACTTTTTATATTATTGTTGTTTTTAGTGCATCATATTTGACTTATTGGTTTGACATTGATGAGATGTTATGGGAAAAAATTTAGTATGTTATTGTTTAGTATTTTAAATTGTGAAATTAATATTTTGATGATAAATATTTTGTTATAATTATTAATAGGTCTAAAATTATGCTCTTAATTCAAAAAAAAAAATATAGGGGTTAAAATTAGCGATCAAATTAGAGACTAATAAATTTAGTAACAAATTTACAAATTAATTTGCTACTGAATTAGCTAGTGACCATCTGTATGATTAGGAAGAAAAATTAAAACTAAAATTTTATTTTTTGTGACAAAAATGGCAACCAAACAAATTAGTGATTGTTTTGGTGACCAAATAGCGACCAAATTTAAATGACCATTTATTTTTAAAAAAATATTATATAACAACTTAAATTGCAACCATATTTTTTGGTCGCCAAGTTAGTCATACAAGCTCAACAACCAATATTATAGCAATGGATATGTTTTATATAGCTACGTCTGTATTTAGTCACTAAATAGTGATGAACAAAATTTTGGTCGCTATTACCAACAACGACTAGGCTTTTTGCAACGAAATTTTCCGGTTGCTAACTCTAATAGCGATTGAAATACATGAAATAGTGATGAATTTTGTTGGTTGTTAAATAGTATTTTTTTAAGTGAGTGCTTATTGTACCTCTCTTTTCTCCCCTATTACCATCATTATCTAGAAAAAATAAAATAGTTTTAAAGTTGAGTTCATTAAGAGAAACTCTACCAATTAAAGAAGTCTAACACCATCATCAAGTGGAAGATATATTCTACCATTATCCCACAACCTAGTCTCACTTTTTTTATGCCTTTCATCTTTCATTGATAAAAGTTGAAGCTTGAAATGCACATAAACTAAATCTTTTACCCCTTTGAATCCATTTTATTTTTTTCAAATAATGAATAAAGGAGTATGCATTTCAATTACTTACACAACATGAAAAAAACAACCATAAAAAAACTTTAAAATATTTTTCAGATACATATCTAGAAGTATCTATGAAAAAAAGTGAAAAAAAACAAATTAAAAAATATTGAATACTTTTTGAATATGTATGCGGAAGTATTCAGATTCAAATTTTTAGTCCAAAACACTATAGATAGATGAGGCCTTTCATCACCTTATTATCTCAACCTATCAAACAACCCAAGGAGTGCCATGATATCTTGTCCTCTCAATGGTGCAAATTACTCAACATGGTAAAGGGCCATGATCAATGCCCTTCGTGCCAAGAACAAAGATGGGTTTTTAACTTGTTAAACCAAAATCGAGTGCTTAAAGCAAGATTGGATCAGATGCAACTCAATGGTAGTCTCGTGGATTTTTAACTTGTTAAAGATTGATCTTCGTGATAGTGTTGCCTTCTATGAGACACACTAATGATATGTAGAAAGATATAGTGGAAAGATATTTGCAAGGAAATTCCCCTCATGTTCATGCGTTGAAATGAGAAATTGATCTATCATAACAGGGAACACTCTTTGTTTCAACGTACTACACCAAATTGAAAGGAGTATGGGATGAACTTAATATCTATTCGAAGGTTACTTAATGTACTTGTGGATCTACAAAGGAGTTGATTAGTGAGTGTGAAACAAAAAGGTAGCTATGATTTTTAATGAGACTTGATGATTGTTACAGAGTAGTCAGTTTACAAATTCTGACTAGGGAGCCATTTTCCAGCTTGTCCGAGACATACCCAACAGTTTCAAGGAGGAAAAGCAATTAACGATCACCTCCAATTAAGAGGCCAAATATTTAGGTTGCTACATTTGTTTATAGGAACACAAAGAATATTGAGCAAAGGATTAATCACTCACAAAACAAAACAGGAAATAGACTAAAATGTGAACATTATAAGAAATTGGAACATGTGAAGGAAAAATGCATTATTATTAACATAAAGAATATTGATGAATTTCTTTTAAAAAACTTTTATAAAATATTTTGTAATATGTTCAATGAATTTATATAATAAGAATTTGTAAGATTTAAAAAGATTTTATAAAATTTCAAAGGGTAATATAATTTTTTTTAAAAAATAATATAATTAAAAAAAAAAGATAACTTAAATGATAATGACTCAAAACATGTATTTACATTGCACAAAATAAAATATTAATAAATAAATCTTTTAAAATCCTTGAAAATTATAATTTAATTCACCCGTTAAAAAACCTTGAACTATGAAATTATATCAAACATGACTTAATATAAAGAATAAAACTTACATACATTTGTATTTTTTTATTAATAATAAACAGTATATTTGAAATAACATCCTACGCAATTGGTGTAGTTATTAGCATTTATCTTATTCATTCTACAATTCCTATAAAAAATGTTCCATATAGTGATATACGAAAAGTGTCACTATAGATATAATATATGTAGGTATATACACCTGTTTGACATATAGTTACATACAATTTTAGTGTTGATTTTGAATAAGATTTAACAACATATTTTGAGTGTCATTATAGTCTATACCTACACATTTTAACAATATACCAACATATATTATATTTATTGTATTAGTAAAAGTAATTTTTAGTGACACATATTGTGTCACTATAGGATATGTGTCACTATATGACAATTTTCTTGTAGTGAATCAGCAAAATCTATTATCAAGTTAGACATTTATGCATTAATACTTTGTGAGTACTTCTCTATTTTCGTTGTAAAGACCAAATAAAGAAGAAAAAAAAAAAATTGAAACATAATAATAAGCTCAAGCACATCATTCAAAACAACGATAACATAAGAGTTTTAATTCATTCAAAACAACAAACTAAATTCTAAAAGGAGATAAACAAGAAACTCACAACAACACAATAACCTATAATAGGATGTCAATGTATGAACTCATACAAAACATAAAGATTAATTAAACTATTAAATTTCGTCATAAGAAGCAGAACAAATTCAGTTCTCACGATCATTCCCTTGTCCTCATTTCTATCTGTGTTACTCTTCGACCTCCTCTTGAACTTAAATTTTCCCAGTGCTGCATTTCTTTCACGGATGCCTAAATATACCGAAAAATTCAATTAATAAAATGCTTACAAGCGCATAAAATATGGAATTGACACATTATTTAATTATAACAATACAGAAAAAACAATTGCAAAAGACTGTAAATTTTCAATTAATATTTTACAACTAATCAACTATTGGTGGAATCGACAGATCCAGATAGTAAATGAATACTGTACTTAACTTATAAACTTAATTTAATTAACTTTACACACATTTTTGGCATGTATGACTGTAATTCCATCTCTCTCTTTTTTGGTGAATTATCTTGTGTTGATTTGCATTCCCGGTTTTGGACATTTTTAAGATCTAAGTCCGCCATCCAAATTTATATTTATAAAATTATTTGAAAAAAAATTTAGCATATTAACCATGCATTTTCAATAAACACGTCTATTTCCTTCAATAATAATGTAGAATCTCATTTCTGTTTTGGAGTATGTAGAGAAACTAGTCTTACAAAGACTTCAATTATGTTCCCTATTAATTCTTCCCTATGTACTGGCCTTATAAATAGTATTATTTAATCATGTCTCTTTATTTCATCCAATTTTATCTCCATACAAAACCATGTATATTATCAATGTTATTCCTGCATCACCAACAATAAGTGTAACCTTCTATTAATAAAAATACTTTATTTGTCACCCCCATTCCCTACAATGATAATTTCCTAAATTTATAATTTTCACATGTTAAATCTAATAGTATAACAACGTACAAAAATGAATAAAGAATATAAATAAAAATAAAACACTCACAATATTGCAAATAATTATTGGTAATAATTAAAAGAGAACATGGGAGACAAAAATCAGAAAATTAAGAGAAAAAACTTAATAAATATAATATGTTAAAAACATCCATATAGAGATTCCAAGCATAACATTTTCTAAACATGTCAAAAGAAATGATAAACACATTTTTCAAACACATTCGACACAGATTATTTCTTAAAATACACAATTTCCATCTATCGAAGTAAAACATATATGAAAACACATAATAAACGATGTAAATATGTCAGTCACCATATAAAATCTTATAATTTGTTGCTGCACAGATAAAGCTTGAAGGAAAAAATAAAAAATAAAATAAAGCAAAAACATAATTTGTAAAAAATACTTACCTATAATTAAGAATGGAATAGGGATATAACTTTCCATTCTTCACGAGATCAACCCTAGCTAATGGAGAGTTCTGAAGTATATACTTCAGTATCCGATTCACTTTTACATCAGAAAATTCCATGCATGGATCCTTTTTCACGATCAGTGACTCCAATCTAGCAAAGCGAGGAGATTGAGTAATTCTTATTTCAAGACCTGCTAGATCCTACACAATTACAGTGCACTAGAGATATATTACAAAGAATATAATGTAATATAAAGATTATTAAAACAAAAATTAATACATAAATAAAAATTAAAAATTAACATGATAAAAACTTACATCTAGTACAGTATCAAGGGTACAGGTAGTGATAGTCATCTTCTTAACATTACTGAACACATCTAGCCAGATGGAGCAAACAGGATTATACAGACAGGAGTCAATAATTATTTCTTCAAGAAATAAGAGGTTACATGCAAAGGAAATTCGATCAGAACAGATTTGGTTGAGAGTGAGAGATCTAAGATTTGGAGTAGAAAGGACAATTTTGAAAACATCACATGTAGAGCCAACCAGTACCAAATTGGAGAGATTAGAATTAGATATGTGAAAGAATTTATCATTCTCATCCTTGTCCAAAGAACATAGGACAAGGACCAAGGTATTCAAAAAGTTACAATTTGAAAATGGATCAGCGATGTTATTCTCACTTGTAGTAAAAGATACATAGACGAGACGCAAGGTTTCTAATGAAACAGGTGACTTGAGAATTTTAGGGAGTTTTAGAGTAGGAGTAGGGCAAAATATATCCCCAGAAAGCCGTAGAGTTGTCAAAGATGGATAGAAATAAACAAAAGGGTCAAACTCAAAGCTGAAACGACCAATTAATTCTATATCTACGTCCATATCTATGTCCAAGTGCTGGACATTGTGCATGGCAGCATATTCCATGACACAGTATAAGAGTTCAAGCTGTCTGTAACAGGAGAAATAAGAATATATCCGAAGCTTCAGCAATGAAATTGAGTGATCTCGTCTAAACAAAGTCCAGTATACAAAATCTTGAAAATTGTTACGGCTTCTGCTATACTCGAAATTGAAAGAGAGATTATTGAGACGTTTGCACAGGTTCTTCCATCTTTTAGCCAAAACACAAGTTTGAATAGCATCCCTTGTCTCCATAAAACTCATAATGTGAAGCAGCAAGTTGTTAGGCAACTCACTCAACCTGTCTTTGTCATCTCTCCTATTTCTTCTACATAAGCTTAGCCTCTCCATCTTCCCCACCAACTTCCCTTCTTTTTCTGTTCCTTCTATTGATAACCTTGAGTGATAATCTAAAAAGACAAAAAAAATCAAATATCTTGTTTATCATGCAATATCAACAAGTGAAGAGCTAAAAACTATTCAAGGAAGAGGTTATGTCAAAAATACCACCTTGGCTTGGCTTGAGGATTCAGCAGATCTGATTCTAGAGCGAAAAACCAGTTACAAAATAGAATCGATGGATTCACGTGAACAGATGCTTTTGAATTATAATGCGTGGTGCAGTAAATATCACTATTACCAGCTAATGTCTTGCAGAGTAGGGACCAGTATCAGACTTTGAATATACACGTAAGGTATGTTTCAGAAAAGTAAAACAAGCTAGGGCATCTCACCCGACCTGTTTTTGTCGTCTTTCCATTTTGCTTTTATGTAAGCTCAGCCCCTCCAATTTTTTCTACCAACTTTTTTTTTTTTTTATTGATGTCTGGCTCACGAAATAAATACTTGACATGCAGATTTTTATGGTAAAAGAGATATTAATAACCTTGAGTGATAATAAATTTTTTTTAAGTATTCTTTTTATCATGCAATATCAACAAATGAATAGTTAAAAATTATTTGAGGGAAGAAGTTATGTAAAAAATACCATGGTTATTTGGCTTGAGAATTCTACAGTGGAGTGCCCAGTTCCTAAGTAGAACAAATGGATTCAAATGAAAAGCTGTTTTTGAATTAGAAAGTGTAGAACAGTAAATACGATAGTCATAATTATCATTTACTAGCTAATAACGTCTTTGCAGAGTGCAAAAAACGTTCTTGAATAGTGTGACTGGTGAGTTCCCAGGAGAAAGAATAAAAGTGAATGACTTTTATTTTATTTATTTATTTAATAAAAATATTATAATAATCTCGAATATTTTAAATAATACAAATATTTCAATAGCTTTTTTATATTGTGACTAATAAATTTTTATTATTAAACAAAATATTGACTTCATAATTACTTTATTTTTAATTAAATAAATGACACATTAATATTATATAAAAAATAGTATTTTTTAAAACAATAAAAAATTTAACCAAATACAAATTTTATAATTTTAAAGATGTCTTTAATCAATAAATATTATAAAAAAAAAAACAATCATCTTGAAACAGGTTGTGAATAGTGTTCATGACAGAAAAAAACTAATCATATTATAACAATTTTAATTGACCTTATTTATAAATATTTTTAACAAAAAAATATAAATTATAATTGATAATTGAAAGTAAGTTTTTCTCTATTATATTCTATGTGTTATTATTATAATGATTTTGAATTTGAAATTTTTTACTTCTTCAAATGCACGTTTTTTTAATCAAATTCAATTTATTTTTATAATTATTGTCAATATTTTTTGTCTTCATATTTTTTTAACTAATTTTCTCTTTTATGTATTCTTTATTTATCTTCTTTATTTAATCATAACATTTTTTATAATTGATTATTTATTTACTTTTCTTTACGTTTATTTTTATTAATTGAAACTTTCAAATATTCATGTCAATTTGAAAATGTGAAATGCACTTTTATTAAATTTAAATTATAAATTCAATCACAACTGATATTTAAGATATTTTTAAAACATTCATAACTTAATTTATATTAAGCCTAGTAACACTAGGCTGAAAAATTAAATATTTGTCTTTTAATTAGATTCTCGTTTATTATTTAAGATAATTGAATATTTATCTTCAATTATATGTTATATAGGAAAATATAGACAAATACTTTAAAAATCTAATAGATGACAACTGTGTCTTGTTGACATAAAATATAAAAGTGTAATTGAATTTATTAAAATGTCAAGTCTTATTATTTTTGTTTAAAAACGTAAAGTTTGTTTATGATAATATATTGATAGTCAACAGATGTGTATAAATACTTACACATTGAAACCTTTATTTAGATTTTCAAAACCTTTATAATATTTTCATCATTGATAAAAGGTTAATATATGAAACAAACATAAATTGCACTTCATCACAAATAAAATCATAAAATACTCTAATGTATTAATCGAAACAAATAATAATAATAATAATATATTAACTTGAGAACATCTCAGATATTTATATGATAAAAATAATTTTTAATTAGTAGGATCAATCTTCACAATTTATTTTTTTCAATTCTTTTGTAGGTATTTCTTTTGAAATAAGTTAATTTTCATATGCACGTTTTTAAATCACATTCAATTTATTTTTATTTTTATTTTCAATATTTTTTGTTTTCATATGTTTTTTTAACCTATTTTTTTTTATGTATTATTTATTTAATTATAGTATTTTTGGTACGTGATTCTTTATTTATTTTTCTTTACATTTACTTTTATTAAGTGAAGTCTTAAAATATTCATGTCAATTTGATAGGGTGAGGTATTTTTTTAATTAAATTTAACTTAGAAATTGAATCACAATCAATATTTAAGATTTTTTTAAAAATATTCATAATTTAGCTTATATTATGTCTATCAACAATAATTAGGCTGAAAAATTAAATATTTGTTGCACAATTAAATTCTTGTTCATAATTTAAATTAATTAAACATTTATCCTCAATTATATGTTGTATAGGAGAAGTATATGAAAATATATTGAAAATATAATGGTATACAATTGTTACATATTGGAAGAAATAAAATATAAAAATGCAATTCAATTTATTAAAATATAAGTCAATATTTTCATTCAAAAATGCATAAGTTTCTTTATGATAATTAGGGATGATAATTAAATCAAGTCAAGTCAGGCTTTAAATATATAGGTTGTGTCTGTTCTACAAAATTAAAATATAAGTTTGACTTATTATATTTATTATGAAATTTTTTTTTACAAGTCTGGTCTGACCTTTTTAAAGTCTGGCTCAACCTATTAACTTATTTAAAAATCTATTTGAATTATTAGTTAATTAGGTCAATAAACTTAATTTTTTTAAATTAACAAAATTATTTTTAAAATATATTTTATTTAATAATATTAAATTTTAAAAAATATAGAAAAAAAATTAAATTATTTTCTATTGAAAGAGCAATTCATGCGTAACTATGTATGTTGATGCACACTCATGCACAAACCATAAATATATAAATATATAATGAAAAAATAATTGTATAAAAAATATTTTAAATATTGATAATTTATTTTTATGTAATACTTAATAAAAGTTACAACAATATTGTTTAAACCATCCTCTATTTTAAATATTGATAATTTATTTTTATTTTATAAATTTATTTATTTATTTATATTTTTAATAATATATATTAATTTTTGTATTATATTATATAAATAAATAGGCTAACCTATCAAGGTTAACATGCTTTTTTATAAGTTTAAACTTGACCTTTTTATATAAATAGATTTTTTTAAAAATTTAAATTTAACTTTTTTATTAAATAGATCATATTTTAAAGAGATCAGGTCATAGGTCTTTGTTTAAGACCTATTTTATTTCCATCCTTAATGATAATATATACTGATTGTTAAAAGATGTGTAAAACTAATTACACATTGAAATCATTTTGGATTTTAAAAATTTTAGAATATATTTTTGTTATTGATAAAATGTTAATATATAAAAGAAACATAGTATTTCGTCATTCATCAAAAAGGAAATCACAAAATAATGTAATGTACACATTTTATTTCAAGATGATTATATCATTTCATTAACCATAATAGAATTGATAATATGAGTACATGACTAATTGTGGACAAGCATCAAATCTATACACTCTTGTTAAAGTATGATGAGCAACTTGATTAACTTATCTAGGAACTCACTGAGAAGTTGTGAATCAAACTAAGCTTTATTTTACATAAAGTCAAAATAAGATGAAACTCAATATTTATATAGGAAGTAGAGTGTATGTCATCAAAATTTTACTCAATTAAGTTCAAAATTGACATTGTGAAGATGTATACCAATGATCCCCGTAATTGGTGCCAATATGAATGATGTAAAGATATTTATACAATAAAAATCACTTTTTAATTGATAGGTTCAATTTTCACAATTATCCTGTTTGAATTCTTTTGTAGGTGTTACTTTTGAAATAGGACAGTCTTTCTTCTCAACTTTTGCTAACTAAGAAATTATTCTTATTGAATTGTTTTTGATATTTTTATATATGTTCAATAAGAGGGATATGAATAGACATTCAAAACATCATTTTACAATACCTAATAATTAGTATGGTATGGTAGTTTTCAAAATAAATAAATAGATAATGTGCATTGTGCACATGAGAGTAATTACATTATTCATGAACTTTGCAGTTTCAAAAAAATTTGTACAAATATACTTTTATATTTTTTAATATGACAATTTGAGTGAAAAAATAAATTTAAGAACTATTTTGCTTTATATTTACAAAGATTTGAAATATAACAATAATTTTTATAGATTTTTTTGTAAAAAAATGTCTAAAATTGGTGTGGATAAATAGTACGAAAAAGGACTCGTTGTAAAAGTGAATTTCAAATAATTAATCAACTCTTTTATGTAGAAAATGCAAAATTAAACATAAAACAGATTCATAGTAGAAATGAATTTCAAATAAATAACAAACTCTATTGGCTTAGGGTTTTTAGGATTTTCTACTTTGTTGTTTACTAGTTATCCATTGTTTGGTTATTTTTAGGATTTTTTAGTTATCTTCTGATCATTTAGGATTTTTTTCTTCTATTTCTTCATATGCACAAAACAAATAAATTATATTTTTTATAATCTATTTCTTTTATTTGCTATAGAAAATAAAAACATTTCTTAGATAATAATGCAACAATTTTTGTTTAATCTTTTGGTAAATTTTACAACAAAAATTGTGTAATAATATATCACAGAAAGGTTTCTGTTTCTAACACTGATGACAATTTTCATTGTTTCTCATAGGGTTATTTTACATATACTGAGCAGGAGAAAGACAATTAAAAGAAACAATCACAATAATGAGATAAGTATATGATAATTATGATGACAAGCTCTTGAGAAGATTCTCAGGCCAAGCAAGAGGGTGACATGAATAGTATCAAGTTCTATAAGGCGTCATTTACTACTTCAAGATGATTAGGCTAAGCCAACTTAGCAAAGTGACATATTAGTTGCTTGAAACTACAAAATTTGATATTAACAAGCTCCTTTCCACTTTAATTTCCTCAAGGTTTTGCCCAATTTCATTCCATAAATCCTACTCCCCTTTCATGGATCAAGTGT